CTCATTGACACATTTTAACTCACTAACACTCTTAAGTGAATTCTGGAGATTACTAGCATATCTCTCTTTTTCTCTTTCAAGTTCATCAACCTTTTTGAGTAGGGCTTTATTGATCTTTTTGATTTTAAGACTCTCCTTGAACAAGAGTTGATAGGCCTCATGTATGTCTATGTCATCCTCATCCTCATTACTAGAATTATTGTTGTGAAGTTCTTCCTCAACCTTGTCACTCTCCTTATCAAATTCACTCTTAATAGTCGACACAAATGTCATATAGTTTCCTTCATCTTCACTACTAGATGACTCCTGCCTATCACTGGTCTCAAACTCGTTATCAGTAAGTGAAACAACTAAGGCCTTACCCTGCCCTTTTCTTTGATTCTTCTTATAACTAGGCAACTCATTCCTATAGTGACCTATACCTTGACATTCATGGCACCTAACCCAACGTGGTTTATCACTAGAACTTTTATTGTTAAACCTTTCAATTTTTTCTTTTGAGAATCTGCTAGGGACTCTACTTTTTCTATCCTGAGGCTTTCTCCTATTCTTGAGAGCCTTTTGAAATTTCTTCACAAAGTAAGCAATTTCATCGTCCCTCAGAGACTCAGTATTGAAGATTCATCCTCTTTGATGGATTTTAAAGCAATGGACTTTCCTTTCTTAGGTTGTGTGATAGTGAGTTCATAAGTTTGCAAGGATCCTACAAGTTCTTCAATTTTAACTTCATCTAGATCCTTACTTTCTTCAATGGCAGTAACTTTATGCCTAAATCTCTCGGGCAAGGACCTAAGTACTTTTCTAACAATTTTAGACTCGGGAATTTTCTCGCCTAAATTGAAACTAGAATTAACAATATCATTCAATTTTGCATAAAATTCATCAAAAGTTTCGTCATCTTTCATCCTCACTTCTTCAAACCTAGAAGCTAGCATTTGTAATTTCGAGTTCTTTACCGTTTTAGTTCCCTCATGTGTAGTTTCAAGAATATCCCACACCTCTTTAGCAGTTTCGCACATTGACACTCTCCTAAACTCTTCGGGAGACATGGACATAAATAAGGCATGAAGTCCCTTGCTATTCCAATTACACTCAGCTATCTCATCCTTAGTCCACAGTGATATATCAGTAAGGTTAACGGTTCCTGATACGATAGTGGAGGGAGGTTTCCAGCCATTTTGCACACTCAACCAAACATGCTGATCTAAGGACTTAAGAAACGCACGCATTCTAACCTTCCAGTAAGCATAAGTACTTCCGTCAAAGTACGGAGGTACAGAAAGTGATTGACTCATCTAGACAACTATGGGTCAGGACTCGAGATTTGGCTCTAATACCACTTGAAAAGACTATAGTTCGACCCAACCAACACCTAGAGGGGGGGTGAATAGGTGTCTATGCAGAATTTAACAATTTAATTAAGTTATGCAACAAGTCACATAAATTAAACTTTATCCAGATTCATTCACATGATTTAACTACCTATGTTGAATTGTCGGTTGAATTGAAATTGACAGAAAGCAATAAATAACACAAAAATTGTTGACGGAGAAAACCCAACTAGGTAAAAACTCCGGGCACAAGCCAGTAGGGATTCACTATAGAAGACTCCAACTTACAGTATGCCAGACATGACTGTATCTAACAACACTCTGACCTCCTTACTGTATCAACCAAAGCTCTCCTGGATTCTGCAGATCTGTGCTAAAATCCTAGCCTTGTATTTCTTCTATTTCCCGTGAATCAACAAGAACTCCAGTTCTTCAATCAACCTCCTTCCCAGATCTTCAATCAACTGATCTTCTGGAAGTAATGAGGATTTTTTATAGGTGTTTTGTTTGAAAAGGTGTTTGATGCTCTTTCTTCTTCAATGAATCATATGGTGAAGAGTTTTGCAATTGATCCTTTGGTAGAGAGGAAAATATTGTGCTATGTGTTTTGCCAAAGGTTATTAATGAAAAGCGAAATTTTTGTTTATATAGTAGGTCGTTTTTGGTAGTATGGAGCGTTTAAAATTCACGAAGAAGGAAAATTACCAAACGCCAGATGACACTGTCGCTCGAGCGAAGTGCCAACGAAACTCTAGCGACGCACTCTCGCTCGAGCGAAGTGGTGGCGAAACTCCAGCGACGCAGGTTCTGTTATTTAGGCTCGAACAAGGTCAGGGCGAAACTCTAGCACCAATCTTGCGCCGTTTTCATCTTCAAAGCATCCAACTTTACCCTAAACCTATACATTAATTATTGCAAAATTGCAACACAAGTCCCTGAACTTTTAGACATTGATAAATTGGTCCTTGACTTTATAAACTCGACAAATTAGTCCTTTTGGTCACAGATTTCCAATTACAACATTTTCCTAACACTTTTTAAATCTTGGAATCTGAAATTAGTATAAAAATAACAACCCTTTTTTTCTTTTAAATATTCAGATTAGATTAAAATTTTCTCAATTTTTTTTTTTTTTTAACTTTGTAGTTATCTTTGTGTTTTATCGCAAGTTCTAAAATTTATTGGAAACAAATGATTTAATGTAAATAACTTAGATTTGTTAAATAATGAAACTAAAACAAAGGGTTAAAATGAATGTTACTGTGCATTAACGGAGTTAAATTCAGCAACGTGCTATCTAACGATTAAGCTTAGTTGGACCATTTATTGGATTCATAATTTTATGAAATTTTTACAATATCTTTTGAACTCATTCAAGCACAACATAGTAAAATCTCATAATTTTCTAATACCATTTATCCACTCAAACATGTGGAAAAAAATGTTCTTGGGTACACTGAACACAGTACACAAAAAATGGCATAACTTATCTTATCGACCTTCAATTGACTTGATTCCAAAGCCAACAGACACATGACTCATAGAGCTATCAAACCTTACTAATTTTATCCAAAACTTCAAAGAATTCTGTCCAGGATGATGTTACAAATTTCCAGTAGTAAGCTAAAAAATTTTGTTTACAAGTCTAACGTTCATCTTAACTTTTTTAATTGTATGCATACTTAAAACAATTAACAATTTAAAAGTTCACATCAAGAAAAAGAGCTAAAAAATCTTAAAGAAAGATAAACTAACATATTTTAAAAATTAAACATAAGTTGCATAACTAGTCAGAACTAGAAACTCTTCAGATATGACTAATTATACAAATGAAATACCTTTCTCCCTTCGAATCCTCCGCAATCCATGTAAATCCCACTTACTCGACCATCCTCTAATCTAAAAAATTTGTTAACATAGAAGGAGTGAACTTTACGCTCAATAGGACTAATATCACATGGTGCACACTTTTGATATAAACATATATACATATATACGAAGTGATAGGAAAGAATTTAATATTTCACGTAGAATTTAACATTTCACATGGTGCACACTTTTGGTCATAAATATTAACACATACAAAGTGATAGAAAAGAATTTGATACTTCACGTAGATGAATATAGATAAATTCATGATTCCAAAGAATCCCTTGGGGTAGTAGAAACCGGTTATGACCATACATATACTTCTTTGTTCACAACTTCAAAAATTCTAAAACACATCATATATATATATATAATGAACAAAAAGGGTAAATATTTAGCGCCATCTATCTTGATTTTCTTGAAATATAAAAGAAAAAAATATGTAAAAAGCCTTTCTCTTTCACACCCTTGCTATTTCTTTAAGTTTAGTTTAACATAAAGTATATTTTTGAGAGAAAATTACAGATTCGAATTTGAAGAGAGTTGTAGTGAAAAGTGACTTTCCTTTTCTTATAACCTCCTTTTTTAGTGTAACATTAAATGGGAGAGTTGTATTATCATTAACCTTGTTAAATTGAATCTTTAACTAGGAATTTAAAGAGTTTAAAGCTCATAAAAATTAATTCTTATAAAAACATTTACATAATGAAAAATAGAAGAAAATAAACTATTCATATGATTTGTAACCTATCTCTATGATGCCCACTACTAAAACAATTATTCCATCAAGTTAACTTGATATAATTGTTCTTGATATGTAGAATGAGAGTTTTTAACTCAAAAATAATTTTACAAAAAATATTTTATAAAATTATCTACATGATGATTCAAACCTAGGTTGTCTATGTAAAATACAATGCAAATGACCATTACAGCAACCCAATTATTCATTGAATTTTTGTAATCAAATTTACTTAAACTTTTTATCTTAAACTTTTAGGTTTTAAATAACTTATGGCGTGGGCTTTCATAACCTTAAAGGGGCCGAGTCTCCATAGTTCGTTTATTAAATGGGCTACATCAACCAATTTAAAAATATAAAATTCAAGAACTTACAATTTAGTTTAAAAAGGGTATAAAAATGGAGTAAACTGAAATTGGTAGCAAAATTGATGCATAAAATCCAGTAATGGCCGCACAACAAGATTTTAAATATAGGGTGAAAAAAGGAATTAGACATAAAACTCCAAAAACCATAAAAACCTAATAGTGTTGGCGTTTTCTTCATCCACGGTCGAGTCTCTAATGGTGGTGACGTTTTTTCACCTATGGTTTGAGTCTCTAATGGTGGTGGTGCTTTTTATAATTGAGGGATTTTTGACAAAATGACCTTCTTCTTCAACAATGAGGGTTAGTGTTTTGTTATTTCAGAAAATGACTTCTTTTCATCAAGTTAGGGCATTTTTTTAGCATATTAATTATAAATTAAATTAAAAGTTTTAATTAAAAAAAATATGAATTAAGTGTATTATTCAATTTTATTGCTATAGGGTGCACTGGGAATAATTTCCCCATAATTTATAAATAATGCCATCAATCATTGTACATTATGTTTGACATCGTCCTTGGTGTCAAACTCTGAGTGGTGTAAAAATTATTTCTTAAACTGTTCAATTGTGTGTTGACACATAACAGAATGTAAAATTTGTTATACAATATGGTGTGCACCAAGCAAGGTTGATAATTTATGGATCCACACAGTACACAAATGCCATATTTACTAGAAATGTACACTAGACAGTGTAGAACAACATTAAAAATAAAAAGGTTAAATCGTATCTGTCGTATTGGTGTATTGGCCAGTCGGAAAGTCACAAATTGTTTCTATTTTTTCTCACTAAACATTAAAGAACGAAAAACCGGAAAGGTAGATACAAGTTTCATCGATGCTTCATCATGGCAACAACCTTCTGCCAGGCTGGCCTGGCAAGAATATCAGCACACCAGGTGTTGACATGAGGGCGTTCATCGAACAGGGCTTTAATTTTTGTGCCCATCATGTAGTTGACAATAGGTAAATGATGCAAATCAGCCAAAGTGAAGAAATCTCCTCCCAAGTACTTGGATTGTGCCAGCCGGGCTTCATAGACGTCAAGAACCTCAGACAATTTCTCTTCCTGATGTGCCACGATAGCTTCATCCGTAGGCAAGCTGAGCATAGGCTTTATTACGAGCTCGTAGCAAAGCTTGGATGCTTGAGGCTCACATCTTTGGGCTTCAACTTGTGTCCATACCGAAATAATTGCCATCTTGTTTGAATCATGGGTAATCAGTGGGGTTCCTTTGTCAGCATATTTATGTGCAAGGTACTGAGTGATTGCCCTTGATTCTGCAATTCAAGATTTCATCTGTTAAGGGGAAACTTCTGAACGTAAGGATGTCCAAAGATGTGCGGAACAAGACTAAAACCCTAAGTTTGACTGTATAATAATAATTACTTTCTAAATGAGTAGATTTGTTTACTTAAAAGTAAAAGATAAGTAATTGATTTACTTTTGAGGAAATTGATTTACCAAAAAGCTTCAAATCTCCATCTTCAAAGAATGGTACTTGAGCAAAGGGCTACATGAATCAGAAAGAATATTTGAGTAAACAGAAAATTGAAGAAAAATAAGAAGAAGAACGTACGGCAGATGAATTCATATATATATTCTTACATTTAGTGAAACAAAAGGCTCTGTCTTGTGCTGTCCAGTTGCTAAATCAACAAAGACAAACTCGTAGTCAAGTCCTTTCTCTGCTAGGGTTGCAAGAACTCTCTGTGTTGATCCAGAAATAGGGTGTCCATGGACCTTGATTGCCATCACTACTGCAGAATGCTGAACAGCACGAGAAGAAAATATATACTTTTAGAATAATGATCTGTTGAATACGGATGATGATTATTCTGTCAGGGATTACTTAAAATATTAGGGTTCATTGACTTTTAACAGCTTTTTTTTTCATCTAATAAATTTTACTTGTCCATCTGTTCATATTAGTTCATGGGTCGCTTTATTTATCGCTCTAATCATCTCATATAAAAATTAATTAGTGTCTAGTATTTGGAAGTGGTGGAAGTAAAGATGAATAATCTTAAATTGTTTTTTCTAACCTGTACTTCAATTTTTAGGCCTTCTTTTTTATTTTTTTTTCTTAGGTGGATACATTTCATTTTCATTTTCAAAATTTTCTATTTACTTTATTTATTAAACTAAATTTAAGGGCTTTTTAGTTTTTATAATAAAAATGCTGACTTTCTAATGGTCAAACAAACAGAACTGTCTAAATTGACTATTTGCACAGTCCATTGGTAAGTTAGGGAGTTTTGGACCAAAATTTGAATGCGGAACCTAGTTAAGAATTAAATGCGTCAATTTCCCTTCTATTTGTATTATGCAGCCGGCCCAGGAAAAAGATGAAAAAAATTGTTATACCAAATAGTTCTGAGCCATTTTTACATTTCTTTGTCAAATTTGTTTATAGTGGAAATAAGTGTTTTCAATATCCCAATTCATATTTAAACCCTCTTTTGAAATTTTATTATAAACAATATTTTTGTAATCTTTAATTTCGTTTTTAATCTAGGATTAGAGTTTTATTCCTATTAAAACTACTTTCTAAATTTTCTACATATAAATAGATTTATTTTCATTGTAAAACATTACCTTATATTATTTTTAGAATTTCTAATAGAGAGACAATTTATTTTCTTCATATTGTTCTTCATTGAACAATTGAAACTTATCAAGAATTACAATCTTGTGGCGTTCTACAATTCGGGTGCGGGGCTTAATCGTGTAATCAAAGGGTCCTTCAAGCTTTGATTTTGTTGGGTTTTTTGCTTCATTGAATCAGGTTCAAACTCCCAAATTTTTTAATTGGCTCTTTTGGGATTCTAACAATCAAGTTGTGAGTTTTTTAGTCAACGCTGCTACGAGTTTCGCATCATATTCACTTGACGGGATTGAATTTTCTCCCACCCTGAAAGAGTTGATGAGGACATCCACCTATTTTATTTTAATTTTATTTGGACTCTTATTTATTTTGTTTATTTTAGTTGAACTATTAGTTAGTGGACTTGGCCCTTTCTCTTTAGAGTTGTGCTTTGTTATTTAAACCTAGTGTGCAATTTAATTAAGACGGTTTAATGATTACGATGAATTGAGATTGGTTGTGGAGTTTCCTTCCTCTCCCTTCCTCTTTCCTTCTAAATTTCTGTTTTTTCTCCGATTTCTCTCCCCTTCTCTTTGGTTTCCCCCCTCTTTCTTGTTGTTTTCTTCTCTATATATATATATATATATATTACTTACAAGTAAACTAAATAACTTAATTAGCAAATTACTTGCGCTCATAGCATCAGGAAAAAAAGTAAAGCTCCAACCTTGAATAAAATAAAGGATTATTATATTCACTCTATAATTTTTACTTGTAGCACTACATTAATTAGCACATTTTGTCTTTAGAATAATTTTATCAAAATATTCTATTTGTGTGCTTAGAAATGAGGAAAAATATTGTCCTATTTTTACATTTATTTATTTTTAAATATGACGGACAAATTATATGTCATTTTAAGCCTTTAGATGAGCCTTTTGGACAAAGTTGTTATAAGAGAAGATGTGCTAATTAGTGGAATGTTGCATAAAAAAAGCTAGGAACATACAAGCTAAAATGAGAAAAAATCGAGAACTTTAAGTGTAATTATAATATGGCACAATTAAAATATTTCAATAATATCGAAATTTTTGAAAGAATAGCAAAATTTACTGAAGTAACCATGGAGGTCATGGATTAATTTGCTCGGCCTTTAGTTAAAAAAAAAAAAAATGGAGAGAGTTTCTCATGAAAATTGTGGAGAATATTATAACAATTATTAAATATTTGGAGTTCGATGAACTCACATGTATAAAGATTTCTATGTGAGATCCTATTAAGTTGTGGATCCAAGGTTGGATCTAAGTATATACAATGACCAGTCAATATTTATTCAAGATAAAAATTGGTTATGTTTGTTCTTCCACCCTATTTATTATTAACTCTCTAAAAGTCATGTTTAAATTATTGATACTCACAACAAACCTTATTAATTTTAGTCTAATCATATTTCTTTTCATCTACATAAAGTATGTCGCAAATACTTAAATCGTTAAGTCTGCACAAAATATGTTTTACCTTCACAAGTCATTGAGTATATGCAAAATGTCACAACTGCTTAAGTTATCTTTTCTAGATGTTATCCTATGTACGTTAGTATTATTATGTTAGGAACTGCAGGAAGGCGGGCTCGTCTATCACATTTATTGAATAGGTTTGTGCCCCGTTTTCCTAAGGCCAATTATAGTAGAAAAGAATACGAATTTCGAAGTAATTTTATACCTAATTGCAATATTCATGTGTAAATAAATTTTAGTGTACAATTTTATTAAAATATTGATTCCCCAAATCTTACCTTCTTCCTCTCCTTATTCTTATTGCATTTCATCTTTGCTATTTTATCCATGTAGTGATGGACTGTTTTCGGTAACTAGCAAAATTTATGTATTGTGGAGTCTCAATTTATTATGAAACAACTCGCAAAGTTGAATTTATACATCCTTTTCCCATCTGCCCAACTTTCCACTCCGTCCATCCCCAACATGTGGTTTTCCTTGAATTTAGCAGTCTGACAATTTGTAGGTAGGTGAAGCTTAAAATATTAGGATGATGCCCAGCCACTGGGATGTTGATTGCACTATTGAATACAGAGAAAATTAATAACAAGTAATTTATGAATATATCGAATTGAGCTATTCGCGTTAACAAATATCCTCAAGATACGATACTTCATACAAAATTAATACATCACAATGCTAATTTTAATTGATAAACAAGAATTAACCGTACTCCTCGAATACATAATAAAAAACAAGCATAATTGAAAACAATGTAGAATTTTAGCTAAATAAATTTTACCACATTATTTATCTCATGACTTAGATGATTAATAATTCTCATTATCATGTTAAATAATGAAGGATCCACCCTACTTATTCTTATAAAGTTGACCAAAAATTCGTTTAAAAAATCCAGTCTTAAAACGTGTAATATTCCAAGAAGTTTCTCCATATACAGATCATGCTGAATCAAATATAAATCTTGAAAGGCTCAAAAAACTATTTGGCTGGCAACCTATTTTATCTTTTCCCTGTCTAAGTCAACTTGTGAACTAGTATGAATGAACAGAAAGATTCCATTAACCAAACCAAACTGGGAGCTTTCACATGTGAATTTGACCCGATTGGGAAATATTATAAACGAAATAATATCGTGCACCAAATACGTACTCAACATGTAAAAAAAGAAAAACTGTTAAAAACAGTAAATCATTCCTGAGCGGGGAAAAAAACACTCAGCACTTTATTATTTATAAATACCCCCTGCATATCATCATCCATGTTCATCAAATCATTATTCTAAAAGTAAACCTTTCTCTTGTTATTCTTGTATTGAGCATCTTGCAGTAATGGCAATCAAGGTTCATGGACTCCCTTTTTCGATAGCCACACAAAGAGTTCTTGTAACTTTAGCAGAGAAAGAACTTGATTATGAGTTTGTGTATATTGATTTAGCAACTGGCCAGCAGAAGACAGAGGATTTTGTTAAACTCCATGTAAGCATAACATTGTTAACACATCCAGTATTTTTCTTTAACTACTTTTTCAATTTTCTGATTCCACTGAAATGATTGTTTTCTGATTTGTTTAGCCATTCGGTCAAGTACCAGTCCTTGAAGATGGAGACTTGACACTCTTTGGTAAATCTCGCTCTCCACATATAGAATTTTTTTCATTTTCATTGACTTTTTGAACACTAAATTATATGGTAAATGTATTTTCTTATTATGAGCTTAAACTTTAGATGAATTGATACAATATTACATCAAAGTTAGAAAAGTAAAAAATACTGACTCTGGCCATTACCCATTTATAAAAATTGTATATATGTTAATCCTTGACGTAAAAAATGAATCTGATATGAAGGTTGTGTTGACAAAAGACAATGAACTGGAGATGCAAGTGAGGATTGTGTTAAAGATATAAACTAAATAAATAAATGTTTCCTAACTGTCTAACAAGTGATGCTTTTAGACCTGCAAGTTCAACATAGATTAGTGCAAAAAATGGTGTTAGATTTAGAGTGTTTTAGGCTTAGCGTAAATGCTAGTTTACTGTCCAAAGAACTTCTTTTCTAACATTTAAGCTAATCCAAACATGCTTTTAGTTTTTCTATTACTTGTCAATAAATTGCTTTGAACCTCTGATAAAGGCCTACATATGGAAGATTAAATTTACTTAGCCTTTGTTTGGTAGGATTTGCCGAAGTTGAAAAGATGTGGTTCCCATAAAATTTGTGTTTGAAATTAATCGCTGACTTAAATTAAAATTTAGATTTTAATCCGCACCAAACTGAGGCTAAACAAGACGTGTCTCTTTTATAGCTTAAACTTTTGGGCCATTTTATTCAACCAGATCCTGACAACGTGATCTATAGATATGTTTATGTTCAAAAGTTTTTTGTTAAAATATGAAACATTATGGTGCAGAATCAAGGGCAATAGCTCAATACATTGCTCACACATATGCTGATAAGGGAAACCCGCTGATAACCTCCAATCCAAAGAAAATGGCAATCCTTTCAGTATGGACAGAGGTTGAAGCTCAGAGATTTGATCCTCAAGCCTACAAACTTGCCTACGAGCTAGTAATAAAGCCCATACTCGGCCGTACAACCGACGAAGCCATTGTCACGGAGCACGAAGGCAAACTTGCCGAAGTTCTCGACGTCTACGAAGCGCACCTCACGCAATCCAAGTATTTGGGAGGAGATTCATTCACATTGGCTGATTTGCATCACTTGCCAGTTATTAACTACCTGATGGGCTCTAAAATTAAAGCACTTTTCGATGCACGCCCTCATGTGAGTGCTTGGTGTGCTGATATTCTGGCCAGGCCCGCTTGGCAGAAGATTATTGCATTGATGAAGCATTGAAGGATTCTGATTGCTAGCCACTCATGATGATGCTGGAATTTGTTTGCGTTTCGTGTCTCTTGGTTTTGGATGTTTGAATGTTTGATGAGAAAAAAAGGGAACACTTTGTGTACTGTGATGGCCAACTCTTTTTTTCTTGTCCATTCTTAAATGAATAAAGATTGAATTGGAATTTCTACGTTCATTCATATACGTGAATTATTTTAGAGATTTATCATTTTGTATTCGATTAGGGATGTTAAAATGAGAGTTTGTCCTGAAAAGTTCGGACTGGCTAATGAGGTGGATTGATCTATGGCTGACGGATCCTGGACGTTGGCCTTCATTACGAATTCTAGGGTTTTTTTCAATTTTTTTATACTTCCAATTTTTGTTAGATCCTTATAAGAAAACAACCAATTAGATCCATGCTTGGTGAGTGGTCTAGGCAGCGCCATTTTATGTAGTGTTGAGTACTGCTTGTCACACACACTTTGATACATTTACACTTAAGTAACTTATCAAAAGTGAAAAGTTTGAAATGTGGATATTAATGTTATTATTTAGCAAAAGAAAGAAAAAGGCAACATCAATATTATAGTTTAAATCCTTCATTTATAGTCTTTTTCCTCTTTACTTTTTTTAGTTAAGATCCCTATACGAATAGTACATATCTTTTTCTTACTTCATTTAATAGACAGGCTCCCGTGAAAATTAGCGTGACCGTATTAATTAGTGAAGAATCTATTAAAAAATAAGTCGAACGATAATAACCTCTGCAAAGACTACTTTACCAAATGATTGAAAATTTAAAACCACGTGATAACAAAAACCATATAAGGAAACACAAACCCTTAATTTGGATGTGGATAGAGGTGTCAACGAGTCGAGTTGAGTCGAGCCGGCTCAATTTTCTGTAATTTTTTTTCGTTGCCTATTTGACAGCTGTCTCAACAGGCAGCTCGAGCCTTTGAGCCTCTAGTCAAGTTGGCTTGGGTTTTTTCGGGTTAAGTCAAAGGGGCCGAGTCGACAAACCCGATTGCCATCTCTAGATGTGGTTGTAGAATCCACACTATTTCTATTGGGCCCCTCTGCATTTTTATGATAATTTATTCAACATTTCAAAAATCACTTTGGATATTGACTGAAAACGTAAAGTGCAAAAGTAAAATTGGTGGTTAAATAAAATTTGAACAAATTATTTTGTTTTCCCTTTTTAAAAATTGAATTGGTACAAGTGACTGATTGTTGGATATGAAGCTCACAAACATGACTTAAACATGGACAAAGTAGTTGAGCTGTGACTTAATCTCGTTAAATTCATTATGGAAAAGATGAAATTCAGAAGAAAAGAGTCGAAAAAGGACCAAAACGGAACAAAGCGATAGTTCGGGGACCAAATGTGCAAATATTGAAAAGTTGAGCTAAAGTGCAGAACAAGAATGAAAATATGCCAAGTATGAGATTGAGGGCGATACAAGACGATCGGAGGAAGAAAGAAGTAATATTGGACTGAATTGAAGAAAAGTGAAAGATGAAGGACTAAATTGTAATTAATCAAAAGATGAGCCGAGCAAACGATCAAGGAATTGATTGACTCAAACGTCAATTAGGAGTCAATATTTGATGATGGAATAAAGGAAAGAAAGAAAAAAGATCAAGAAAAGAGAAAACAAAACTCAGGGACTAAAACAGCAAGGTTGAAAGTTACAACCATGCGGGCGCACAGAACTGTGCCATGCGGCCGCACATATGGTTGCAGGGATTTCATTGAGGCAGTTCACTTGAACCATGCGGTCGCATGGCTATAAAGACCAACAAAAATTCTGAACTTGCGTTTTTAATTGAAACTCTTTCGAGCCTCCATGAGGACATGATATAAAAGCCAAAATTCATCAGAAATAGGGTAGAACGTCCAGGGAAGAAGAAAATTACAACTTTTGGAGGCAAGAAATACGATCTTGAAGCCAATTCCACAAGAATTCAAGTGGGTTTTCAAGGCTTTATTCAAGATTTCAAGAAATTTTCATACGGGTGATATTCTTTCAATTTATTAATTTTATTTTTTTATTCTATAATAATGAATATTCTAGGCTAGGTTTTCAATTCACTAGGTGATCGATGGACCATTGTTTGTTATTTTAATTCCATATTTCATGAATTCAATATAAAAACTCGTTTGGATAATTTAATTGGTTTATATGCATTGATTTTCTTCCGCAATTAGTGGCCAATGATTGTGTGAGTGTTGATGACTTATTTCTTATATTCGAGAGAAGTAAAATAGGTTCGATAAGGTGTAAATCAACATAGGGTCCGATAGAGGATAGAGATATACCCCTATGCTTTATGCAATTCTCTAATTGTTCACAAAACCACATGCATTCTTGTATATTTGCATCATCCATAGAGATATAGGCTGGTGGTGTGCAAGAATAGGTCTAATATATATCGAGAGAATATGTTGAATAGATTTAGAAACATTGAATTGACAAATTTCCATCAGGTCATTGATTTTATGAAATTAGGGTTTTTATAACTTCAATTGGGGATTCGTGATCCTAGTGACTTTATTTTGATTCATTTTCATAAATTAGCTTTTGAATTTGCATAATTTCATTTACTTGAGTGTTTAAATCGTTTAATTAGAGAAATTTCAAGATTATGGTTTCTAATTGAGAAATTAGGGTTTTTAATTGAAATTAGGCCTTTTTGCATTTGGACCATATTTTCACTCAATTAGATTAAGTTAAGGCCAGATTATATAGAATTGAACTACTCAATATCTGTGGGACGATATTCAGACTTTTAAAAATCTACTTTATTACTTGTTACGATCCGTACACTTGCGGTAGTTTTAAATCGAAAGAATTATTTCGTGAACAAGTTTTTGGCGCCGTTGCCGGGGAGTGAGTATTCGTTTAATTTTATTCAATTTAGCACTAATTCGAACTTTTTATTTTTAATTTTATTTTAGTTCATTTTATTTTATTGCTTATTTAGTTTTATTACATAAGTGCATATTTTAGTTATTTAAGTGTTTAAATTGAATTCTCTTGCAGAAGTGCATGCCAAGATCTGCTGAAGGAGATCTACTCCTAGTCGATCCAGAGATCGAACGAAGCTTAAGAAGAAGGCGAGAGAAAACAGAGCAGCAAGAAATCAGATGGAGAATGTACAACACAATCCTGTTGTACAAGTCAATGAAAGAGGGGAAGAAGATGAAGGAAACATGCTCGTTGGAGAGTTCATGACCCCTCAAATCATTCAAAGCCAGTCCAGCATTGTATATCCACCGTTCGGGTAACCAAATTTCCAATTGAAGACAAATGTGATACAACTGTTCCAGAACGGACATCAGTTTTATGGAAGAATTGAAGAGAATCCGCACATGCATGTCTAGCATTTCTCAGAGATAGCCAGCACTTCAGATATCAAGGAATCTCTGACGACGCCATAAGATTAAGACTGTTTCCACATACTTTGTGGGACAAGGCGATTGAATGGCTCGATTCTCAGTCGATAGCCAGCATTACTACCTGGAATGACCTAGCTCAGAAGTTCTGTACTAAGTTCTTCCCACCGGCCAAGATAGCAAAGCTAAAGCACGACATATCTATCTTCAGGCAAGGTGAATCTGAGAATTTTGATGAGGCTTGGAACAGATTCAAAAATCTACTAAGGAAGTGTCCACACCACGGGATTAGCAAGGGACTTCAGGTCCAATATTTCTATGTAGTGCTACTTCCAGCTTTCAAAAGCATGGTCGACTCTTCAGCTAATGGGTCATTGTCCACGAAAACAATTGATGAAGCGTTGAAGTTATATGAGACAATGGCTACGACTTCAGCAATGTGGACCATGAAACGAGCAGTACCAAAGAAGACACCAGGAGTTTATGAAGTGGATGTATATTCAGCGTTATCCGCTAAAATTGATTCCTTATTTCACAAGGTGGAAAACATTACCCAGTCAGCTAACGCAGCGCAGACAAAGAAGGCAAATTGTGAGAAATGTGGAGCTGAGCATGTGACAGCAAAATGTCCAATTTTGGCACAAGGAAAAGAGCAAGCAGATTTTGCTCAATGGGGACAACGCCAGCAGAATAACACATATGGAGAGACCTTCAACCCAAGCTGGAAAAAGCACCCCAACTTTTCTTGGAGCAACCAAAATCAGAATAGGCCACAGGGACAATATCAACAGCAAGAGAAGAAGCCTCAATTGGAAGAAATGTTCGACAAATTCATGGAACAGACCAACCAATATATGGAGGCGAACAACCAATTCATGAAGAAGACAGAAGCCACTCTTCAGGACCAGAATGCAGCCATCAAGAATTTGGAAACTTAGATGGGACAGATGGTAGTTGCATTAACAGGTAGAGCACCAGGCAGCTTGCCAAGTAACACAGAAGTCAATCTGAAAGAGCATGCAAAGGCTATAACAACGAGAAGTGGAGTGGAATTACCTGAGAGATAAGTGAATAATCTCGTGGCAAACAGAGAAGAGATGTCTCCTGAAGTAGAAGAGATTTTGGAGCAAGAAGAGCAAACAAAAGAGCCAACACCGAGAGCAAATAAAGGAAACTCAAGGGATAAAGAGACTGTAACTGTGAACCCATATGAGCCACCCATACCGTTTCCACAGAGGCTGAAGAAGCAAAAGATGGAGTAGCAATACAAGAAGTTTCTCGAAGTCTTCAAGAAGCTCCATATCAACATCTCATTCGCTGAAGTACTGGTTCATATGCCTAGCTATGCAAAATTCCTGAAAGATATCCTATCAAACAAAAGGAAGCTAGGAGATCACGAGATAGTTATGCTAACAGAGGAGTGCAGTGCCAGGATTCAGAGAAAGCTCCCGCCAAAATTGAAAGATCTAGGGAGTTTCACTGTCCCTTGTACCATTGGTGAAGTTTATTTTGATAAAGTTTTATGTGATCTTAGTGCAAGTATTAACTTAATGCCATTGTCTGTTTTCAGGAAATTAGGATTGGGAGAAGCTAAAGCTACCACGATGACCTTACAGCTGGCTGACAGATCATTGACACATCCACGAGGAATAATTCAAGACGTATTGGTTAAGTGGAGAAGTTCATATTCCCAATAGATTTTCTGATTCTGGATATGGAAGAAGATAAAGATGTTCCTTTAATACTGGGCAGAGCATTCTTGGCCATGGGCAAAGCTTTGATCGACGTTCAGAA